AATATTTCCTTTCCCTTTCTGTGTCCCTCATCCCCCCATCCACAAGAGCTTAATCCCCCTAACCAAGTCCATATGGTCTTCAGCTGCCTGGAAAAGCCTGGATCCTCTCTTTTGCCTTTTTAACAATGGTTAAATAAGAAAAAAATCAAGGAGTTGTGTCAAGTGGGAGAGAGAAAAGTGAATTTTGATGAGGGCTGACCTGAAAATCCCTACTTTCCAGCTCATTTGTCCAGATCTGAAATGGCCTACGCTTGCTCTGAGAATACAGTGGCTCATAGGGGTCTAATTCGTACTGATTTTCAAGGGTAAATGCAGGTTCCAAAATGTACCTTTATTCCCTCTCCAGATCTTTACCAGGCCAAATGATCCTTTACAAAGATAGTTTTTCAAATGCATTATCTTGTCCTAACAGTTTTAAGCTCCAAGGACCAGTAAGGAAACCACAACTGACCTTCAGAAGATGGAGGATGGAGAAAATACTTTAAAGCACTACCATTACAACTAATAGTGCAACTACTAGTATGTACAATTTTAGTAAATAATTCATGGAAGAATTCAGACCTGCACTTCACCTCAGTTATAAACTATATGTCATGTGAACCTTGCCTATTCTGAATACTATGCCAAACTATAACATCAAACTAGTGTAAAATTTCAAACTCGATTTTCTTTATTTAGACTATATAATAGAAAGAGTTTCATACGTTGGTCAGCAAGTGCAAAACACTTTCACATTTCACAACACACATTAACAAGTTTGAAAACAAAATTACATTTAAAATACACATTTACATCTTGAAAACAAATTTAAGTTTCATAAAACACATTTGCAAATGAGCAATGAATGAATTTACAAAACACGAAACATTTGTACAAGCGCCGAGAGAAAATTTACATGTGGCAAAAACACAAATACAAACCCCCGAAACACACAGACCTTTTTCACAATGGTTGGAAGTGCTGCGATATAGGGTAAATGTCACTTCCAGTTAATGCTTTTCTACAGCAAAATATCTGTGAAAATGTCTCGTCTATTTTCCACCAGCTTCATAAATCTGTCCCATCACCAAATCTTCATCCAACAAGGTCGACAAAGAACATACTCTGTCCATAAAGAATTTTCCACAACTATCAATATAAGCAAGACGAAAGCTTAAAGGTGAACAACGACAACGCTTTAGTGAACTACTGAGCAAAATTAACGGTACAGCCACTTTTTAGAACATTACCTTTTCTGTCAAGAACTTTCTTGTTCATTTGTTTCGGGGGTTTGTATTTGTGTTTTTGCCACATGTAAACTTGTCTCTGTGCTTCTGCAAATGTTTCGTGTTTTGTTAATTTGTTTGCTCATTCGCAAATGTGTTTTATGAAACTTCGAACTTGTTTTCAAGATGTAAATGTGTATTTTAAATGTAATTTTGTTTTCAAACTTGTTAATATGTGTTGTGAAATGTAAAAATGTTTTGCACTTGCCGGCCACTATAGTTTCGTCATGAAATAGTAGTACTTTCTTTTATATTACCATGTGGTTTATCTGTGTAATCCCTCAGTCATCGTGGTAGTTTCCATAGGGGTCGATGAGCTTCAGATCATTCTAAAGCTGTTGAGGAAATCGTTAATTTCTATCCTGTGAATGTGACTCTTTTAGTATCGATACTTGCTCAAATCTAGTTTCGATACTAGTTTTAGTGTCTATTAGTATCTGATATTTTAATACTTTTGAAAACCCTAAATGTAACACAAAATACTAAGTGTGTTTGTGCTTAAAACTCAGGAAGGGAGATTAATTCAATGACTGACTGAAGTAAACATGCACTTTATGCAATGTAAGAGGAGCAGGTTAACTACTGTTGGCCAGGGAAAGTCTAATCAAAGCTGTGATAGTTTGATAGTGGACATCTTTTCATAAACATTGCATTTTGCTCAAACAGACCTGACTAAACAGATCAATTTCTAAATGGTGACATTATTCCTCGTTAAAAGTACATTAGCGTCATGCCGGGTGCACTCCTGTGAAACCAAATTCTTTATCTCCAAATTGGCGTATATATTTTATTCAAAGCTGCACACAGGGAGTTGTTTTGAATGAGTTTGCATTTGTCTGTGTGAGTGGAGGAAAAAGAGAGAGAGAGAGACAGACAGAAAGGGAGACAGACAGAGAGACCTAGAGAGAGAGAAAGAAAGAGAGACAGAGAAAGAGAGACAAAGAGTGAGAGTGACAGAGAGACAAGAGAGAGAGAGACAGACAGAGATAGAAAAAAAGAGAGAGAGAGAGAGAGAACAGAGAGAGAGACAGACAGTGAGAAAGAGAGACAGAGAGAGACAAAGAGAGAGAGACACACACAGAGAGGGAGATATAGAGAAAAAGAGAAAGAAAAAAGAGAGACAGACAGTGAGAGAGAGAGAGATACAGAGAGAGAAAGAGAGAATGAGAGAGCGAAAGAGAAAAACAGAAAGAGAAAAAGCTAGAGAGACAGAGAGAGAGAGAGAAAGAGAAAGAGAGAGAGAAACAGGAAACAAAAAGAAGACAGAGAGCACGAGACAGAAAGAGAGACAGAGAGAGAAAGAGAGAGAAACAGAAACAAAAAGAAAGAGAGACAGAGAGCGAGAAAGATAGAGAGAGACAGACAGAGACAGAGAGAGGGGGGAGCACCTGCAGACTCTGGAGATCTATCTGCAGATTTGTACTGACAACAGGGAGGTGAGTGAGATGAGTCTGGAGGCACATCAGAGCAGCAAACTCTACAGCGTTGACTCCCACTACTACTACAAGTACTACAACTACTGTGCTGAGTGCTGATACTGCTGGAGACGAATAGCAGAGAACAGAGGAGGAAGGCAAAACAATGAAAATGACCTACTACTACGACTACTACTACTACAATGAGCATTTCCATCAAACTACTGTTACTACTACTACTGCTGCTGCTGTTGCTGTTAATATTATTTCTACCACTGTTACTGTTTCTACTTTTTCTTCTACTACTACTCTTAATCGTAATTACTACAAGTACTGTTACTGACAATGGTAATATTACTGTACTACTCCTCCTGTCACTATTACTACTACTGTTACTATTGATACTACAGTAACTCAGTTGGGGCGACAGTAGCTCAGTTGGTAAGAGCGTTTGTCCACTGATCTGAAGGTTGGCGGTTCGAATCCCCATCTTGAGCGGTCAGATCCACTGTCCCATAGGTTGTTGTTGTTGTGTCCTTGGGCAAGACACTTAACCCACTTTGCCATCTAACCCCCACCTTGAATGGGTGAGTGGTCCCTTGTTGTTAAGTGCTTTGAGTGCCGTGAAGGTGGAAAATGCTATGTAAAAATTTGACCATTTACCTATAACTACTACTACTACTGCTGCTACTACTACTACTACTACTACTGCTGTTACTACACAGTACTTTAATTATTACAACTACAACCCCCATTTTCACCATTAGCCTATTACAACTGCTGCTACCCTTAAAAATTAAGCAACTTGTAGGATACTATTAAAAAATAAAATAACATTATAATTATTGACTATCTAAAGTATTCGTTTTGCCATCGGTTTGGTCCCTCAACTCTCTCTGACCCGTCAAATACCACAGTGGATGGCCTCAAAGATGAACGTTTGCTATCACCTTAAAGCTCGCTTCACATATACAGCCCTCTCCGCTGCCCCTGTCAAAATATACAAGTGTTTTTGGCCTGTCACGCTCTCCGTCCACTGCCTCCTGTGGAATTTCGGCTTTCCTGATTCCATGTAGCTTTTACGGGGAAACTTTAATCAACGTCTTTATTTGCCGACCACCACAACCCAGTATCCAGTTGCTGCAAATGGAACAGCTCCGCACCATACGCCGCCACGCTCGATTTTGTTAAAGAAAACAATCAATTTCTGGAGCTTGTCATAAAACGTGTCATTAATATTAACGTCCAGTATTCAAAAACTGTTGCATTTGAAAAGGGACTGACATTATTAAACTTGTTGACAATGAATGATTTGAGATCTTGTCAAAAAAAAAAAGTCTTTGAAATAGCAGATCAAACCTTGACACTGTTTCACAAATTAGCGTATTGTTTTAGTAAGTCTATTAAATTAAGGTCATGGACAAAGAGAGCAATCATCTCCCACAAGACCACAATGGGATGTGAGTGGCAGACTATGGCTAATTCATTTTGGAGTTGTGGTTTCATTCAGTAGTCGCAACATGAAATCCCTCACGTTTTTAGTTTTTTTTACCAGATGCCCTTCTACACCATCACTGTATATATCATTCAAGTGGAGGATTCGCCACCTGCTTGTCTCCATGGATTGCCTCATAGGGTCAGTTCAAGTGGTGGGGGGCAGAGGGGCTGGAGGACTGGAGTTGGCGGTCACACATTAGTTTGATGACTCCTGGTATAGATTAAGCCTATCTATCATGAGGGAGACAAGCAGGTTACAACAATACGCTACATAACAAGTCAGATTTGGGGAGAGTCACCCCTATTCACAGAAGGAATTATTGTATTTTTGAGCAACAGAAACACCCATAAAGGAATCACTTCTACATGGCTATGTTTCATGGAAATTATGTGATACCATGGAAATTCCAGACAAAGCAATAACATCTTCATGGACAGTGGACCCTCCATTAGCACTTCATGTATCACAAGGTGGACAAGAGCATTTTCTGTCTGAGAGAAGAACTCAGCCTTAAATATGCAGGTTTTGTGTGTTAAACGTGTATGAATGAAACAAAACACAACTCCAGGTATGTTTGTGATGAGGAAATCACATTATAGATTATAGACCAGAAAATAGCATAATATGGGCCCTTTAAGTTTATGTCAAACTCAATGTACTATACTTGACAGCATGTTAGAAGGCGTGTGATTTAATGTGACAACAATACCGAAAATAAATAAGTGTGTATGCTATAGTCTGTAATTTTCCATCATAAAACCAAATTTACATCAAACCCTTTTAAATGTCAGACACTTTTTTCAGCCACAGCAGAGCACTTACCACAGGCCCCGATTCTCCTGGATGTCCTGGATCACCCTGTAGAAAAAAAAAACAAAAAACACACAATTACTTTAACACTGGTCCAAGAGTCTCACATGATTCCTAGATTCATTGCAAACTAGGATCATAAAAGTTAGTCCAAATTTCTGGTGAGAAGTGTATTTTCCACATTATGGTTCCACAGTGCTTCTTAAGTCCTTCTGTTGCCGTTGCAGAACATGGACCATGGTGCCAAGTGGGGTTTAGTATTGACAGGCTCATGAGCAGAGTCAGCTTGAGGCGGCTATCAAGCTGTGCCACCCGTGCTGTACCTTGCCACTGTCTGGATACAAAAACAAACTGATGTTGTATTCATTGTGCCCACTCTGCTCTAGCATTTTTCAACAAAGACATCAATATGGGAGAGACTGCACAGAATAGGGACTGGAAAATAGGTACGCAAAAAGTGTTGAAGTACAAGTACAACTACGCCTCTCACAAGAATATGTTTGACATCCCAGTAAAATTATACATAATAAGTAATCTAATAATGAATGAATAATAAATAATGTATATCAGGTTACTTTCAAGTGACATCAGATCATCCTATACTCTGTTCCCCCTTGTGATGTCATGTGGTAATACAGGAAGTGCTCCGCTGGGTTTTTAAACTCCACACAGCTTCACTAGAATCATTTGGATAGTTTCAGCCAGAATTTCTAAACTCTACTGAACAAAAGGTGAGGTAGCTGTTTACTTGAAAACTACCACTTCACGACATCACAAGGTGGAACAAAGCATTTTAAGTTTTGGAGAGGACAGACTAATAATAAAGGATTCATCAAACATGTGGGAATGAAACAAAACACAACTCCAGACATGTTTTTGATGAGGTAACAGCATTATAACATGGTTCAAAGCTTACACATTGTAAAAAATAAAAACAGTAGTACTACCCAAGTTAAGAAGACTTGAATTAAGAAAATTTCATCATGATTTGGGTAAATTTCACTTGACAAGTAAAATTATCTGCCAGTGGAACAGGACATTTTGTACTTAAAATATGAGAACACATCTTGCTGCACTTAAAATAAGAAAAACAAAAATGTTTTGCGCTTAAAATAAGAAACAAAATCTAATGTTGCTTGAATTAAAAAAAAAAAAAAAACACTTATCCCAACTTGTTCCACTGGTAGATCATTTTACTTTGTGAAGTTGAATCTACTCAAATAAAGTAAAATGTTCTTAATTTAAATCATTTTAATATAACTAGATATAGTTTTTATCCAGAGCAAGAAACAATTTTGTGTAATATAGGGAAATGAAAACTGAGGCGGAGGGTTGGTCAGAATTACATAGTGGATTTTGCTGTGTCAGATTGTAGATTTGCTGATCTAGTTCATGGTTGATATTTCTGTAATTACAGGGCCTATCCACATGAAACAATAACTTGCACAAAGTTCAAAGTCTTCTCGGTCATAAACAAAAGTGAAACTTTTTATTCACCCCCCATTATTACTCAACCCCAAAAGATGCAATTGTTGTCTGTTGAAAGGACTTAAAGCCAAAAGATTTAGTTTGACCCAATATTTAACAAATACTGAAGTTACTATTGAATCTGAATCTCCTTAGAGGTTTATATGTACTTCATGTGAAGTCTGGGATCATAAAATTTCTAAACACAACATATTTAAAAAATACTTACTTACTTAATCAAGCCAATTGTACACTAAATGTAAAGTCAATTTCCCCATGGTTTGATATTTCCCCCTTGCGGCACAAATAAAGTTTCTCTTATTATAATTTAGTTAATTCCTTCATTAAATGTATCTGGTTATATCCCACCACAGATGTTACTTTCTCCATCCTCAACATTTGTTCTTTCTGTGATTTACAACATGGGAAATAAAGTATGTGAAGATTTAAGGGCTCCAACAAGGAAAGCTTAATTTCTTGGAAAAACAAACAAACTATTTTAACGCTTTTCAGGCAGCCACTGGAAGAGCTGAGAACTACGCCCATCACTCACTTGGAAGCAAGCTGATAAACAGCACTTAATATTTTTGCACACACAGTGAGATCTGCCAAGACAATAAAGATCAGCTGCAACCAATGAAGAGTTTATGGTTCAGTGTAATTGACAGGCCTTTTCTGTTTGGTCTCTCTCACACAGGCACAGCACACATGCATTAGACAGTGCCAAAGATAGACTTTAAGAAGTGGAAAATGTTAAATCATCATAAAAAACAACCACATAAACATAAATCCATACAGTGAGGATGCTCTTGTTAGGCGCTTCACTGAGGTGTAAGACCTGAAAGGTTTGTTCTAATGAGGCTAAGCCCAGCAGGCTCTAAGTTCATCTGAATCAGATTTACCCAAATACATAATGAAGGACATTCAATTAGGTTTTATAGGAAAGGTAATGTTTTCTGTATAATAACTTTAATGAGCTAAAATCCAGTCAGAGTACTTCACATCTGAACTGACAGTTGGATCCTTGTGTTCAACCTGTACTTACGGGTAGACCAGGAACTCCTCTGGGTCCATCTTTGCCTGTGTCTCCTGGAGGCCCCCGAGGGCCCGGGGGGCCCGGTGGACCAGGTGGTCCTGGTGGTCCGGCTTGCCCCTGATCTCCCTGCAGGGCGCAGACATTTAAACATGATTAGAGTCTGATATTGTTGGATGCACTGAGATGTGAACCACAGCAGTTAAGAGTCATAATGAGAAAGCGTAGCCATGGGCTAACTTCTAATGTAGAGCGTGACTTATAGTTGACACTAAAACAATATAAATGCAGTTGATCAGATTTAAGGCTGACAAGTTAATCTTGTAAAATGCATGCAATCCAAAATAGACTTAATGAGCTCAACAGAGGCTGTAATGGACTGAGTGCTGAATAGAAAAGGTGCATTTGTCAAACTAATTGTACAGCATTAAGCCAAAACACACAGAGTGTGTGGGCCATTAATATAGCGCATGTAATGATGAATATTAAAACTAAACATTAGTATCAGAAGAACATAACCATGTGCCGGGGAAATAAATGACATAGCCTTTATAATCTGAGTGTAAAGTCTCAGTAATAACAAGAGCATGTGTGTGCTGTGTGTGCTGTGGTCTTCATGCAGACTGTCCTGGAGCAGGTGAAGAGCTCAACACACAAGACAAAGGCACTACCTTAATGAGCCGCCGCTTTATGAGCTGCTGATCAGCGGAAAGAAAGCCATGATTGATCTTAGGGAAGACCATCTGAGCAGGTGTGAGGTCAAAGGTCGTAGGTCAGAGGTGAGAGAAGAAACATGAGGTCCCAGAAGAAAAAGAAGGAGGCAAAGGAACAGAAAGTTTGTTACAGACTGTTCAGAAGGACTGCAACAGGGCTTTCACACAGGGACAAATCCACACTTTTCCACCAATGAGGCGGTTAACTGAGGAAGTTTGGTCTTATTTTTTGGCATTAAAACCCATAATTACCACCTCAGGGGTGCAAGGGCGCCACAGCTGACTCGCAGCCCCCAGAAAAATGTGCATTTCTCTGGTTTGTGAAAGCGCTGTTGACATCACAGAGCTGCTAAGTCAGACCCCGGAGCAGCACACACTGTCCGACCCTGGAGTTGAGGTTAATTTTCAGCCTTGTTCCTGTCAATGCTGCATTATTCTGCTACTGTCCGTTGGTAAAGAGTGGCTTCATCCCTCGCTAAAATAATCCAGTGGGTCAGATTGGTGGGCAGAGGGATTTGTGGTGAGCTGTGGGCATGAGCTGCAGAAAAAACATCGCCACTTTGGTTGTTCCGATTCAAGTTCCTTCCATTCATTTATTCATTTATTTACTCTAGACAGACCAAGGACTGCTTCACAGATTTTTGTTCGCTCTTGTATAAGTTGGCTCTATAAAAGTGAATTTCTCCAGTGTGAAATAAAGTACAATATTATCTTATCTTATTGAATTTGAAGACAACTCTGGGGAAAAACTAAACTGAAAAAACACATATGACAAAGATATGTTGTATATTATGGCAGATTGTGGAAGGTTTTTGCCAAAGAATATTTACTTTCATTAGCAGTACAATGAATTATGAGTGTTTGCTTAACTGGAGCCCAAAACTGCACCAAGAACATTCGTTTAAAATATAGGCTACAAAACTTTTTTATTTTATTTTATTTTTTTCCTCAGGCGTCAGGAGTACTAGCCAGTCTTGTACTCTTAGCGTGTACTGCTAAAGGGTCAAACCAAACAGCCGGTCTCCACCACCACGACAAACCTTAACAGTCAGGATCTGATTGCTGTGCAAAGCAGCCAACGTAGGCAGCCCAGGCAATCCCTGAGGACAACAAACAACACAAAATGCACAACATCGCACGCATCACATTAAAACAAGCAAAACAAAAAAACAAAAAAACACAAAAAAAAAACACAGAGAACTGGACAAAAACCTGTTACAAACTGGGGTTTAAAAATTAGCAGGGGTTAAACGGGGAGACATAGACTTTTGCAAATCACCATAGGCCAATATGACAACATGAACATATACAGTGAACAAGGCAAACATTTACATTTGCCGTATCCAAGTTTATTCTATGGCGTTGTGTCCACCGCTAAGAGACAAGTGAAGCATTTCCTGTTGTTTCCTCTCCAATAAACAACAGCGGGCGCGATGACTATCATGAAAACAAGTTAAACATAGCAGTAATTTTGAGTTTTTGAAGATATAATTGAGCCAAGACATTTCCTGGGAATTTAATTAAACATTTGCAAATCATCACAGTGACAGATGTGATCTAACCACTGAAAAAGTACAATGACATAAGATTTGGTAGATGGTTTACAGATAGATGCCAAACTTAAAACAAACCTTCTTTCGTCCTTTCTATTCAATTGGTATTGCATTTCGCTTGAGTCCAAATCTTTTGACTTATTTTTATGACCACAACGCCACACGCTTTGTAAATCTCTTAATCTTAACAGCTAAATGCATGCATGAAAAAAGGTTGGAGAGCAGAGAGAGAGAGACTGAATCCAAGTTTTCATTGTTTATGTTACAACTGCAATTTCAGATGCCATTACACCTGAATAAACCAATGGATGTGCTTCTCCCAAGACTGGCACACGGATATAAACACTCCCCGATAACATCTACCCATTCCAGAAAGGGCTCAATGCCATCCGAAGAGAATTCAAAAAGCATGGATAGTTAAAAATGATGGCTTTCAAAATGGATATAGACTTACTCTGCAGACAATAGACATACCAATGGACTGAGTGAAAATATTTCTAAGTAATTTACAACCTCAAAGACCGAAAGTAGGAGTATTATAGTGGAAGAGAATGGACAGTATAAAACAAATGAAATATGCAAAAGCAAGAGTCATTTGTGCATTTTTCTGGTTGTGCTTGGCAGTAAACAATACAGCAAGCTGACAGTATTTGGGCCAGATTCCCATGTAATATGATTTATCTAATGTGAAAAATCAATGAATAACCGGATAACAATAGCAAGACAAGTGAAACCCTAACAAAAAGAAGAAAAAGAGGAAAATGAAACCGTATGTTGTATATTTAACTCAACAAACAAGGCTCATAAATGTCTCGCTTAAAGGTACATTATGAAAGTTCTGTGGTGGAGGGTCTGGCTCTTGCTGGTCTCCATGGAGATTCATGGAATGTTCCACAGTATGGCATAAACTTATCTAACGCTTTAAAGGTGCACTGTGTGACTTTTCATTTGAAGCTCCGTCGCCTTCTTTCTCTGGAAAGGTCATTTCTCTGCTTGGAATGTTCCACACTGTGACATTTAACAGATCTACCTTACATTTATTCAATTACAGGTGGTTTTATTGCTCAAAAATACTTCTGACTATGAGCAAGGTTGCCTCTCCACAGATCTGAACTGTAATCTGACCAGCTGCTTCTTCCATACTCTCCCCTCGGGAAGGCTTCAAACTTCCCTCACACACACAAACAGGCTGCACAACAGTTTCTATCCATGAGCAGTGGATGTGCTCCAGGAGCACAGGCTCAGATAAAAGGCCAGAAGAGACTCAGTGCTATAATCTATTTATTTATTTCATGTTTTTATTAGTATGGATGTGAGGATGTGTCTATATTTATTCATTTTTACCGCTACAGATTTGCTCAGTCGAAGTTTCGTTGTATTTTGTACAATGACAATAAATCTAAATCTAATCTGAATCTAAATCTAATCAAAACTTGGTCTGGTTTGGTCTCCATAAAGATAGAAAGGCTTAATGCTATACTGTGAAACATTCCAGACAAAGCACTTCACACCTCCAAGGACAAAAGCAGTTGGCAGACCCTCCACCAGAAAAAGTTACACAATCCACCTTTAAAGACAAGCAGATAATGTTCCTAAGCCAAGTTACAGGTCAGATCTGTGGAGAGGTGACTCTGCTTACTGTAAGAATCCATGTTTCTCAAGGTATTTTTGAGCAATAAAAACACCTGAATGAATGCAAGATAGATGAGTCTGATGTTGTGCTAACGTTGTAGTCAAAGCAAAATCATCCCCATGGAGACAAAAACGTCCAGAAAAGTGATATAGTGCAGGTTTATGGTGACAATAGCTCAGAAGTCCATTGCACAGGCACAAAAATAACTAGACTTAAGCAATGCAGAGATAACACATTTCCATTTATCATGACCCAAAAGATCGAGGAAAGTTTTCTATTTTTCTCTCATGATAGCGCACTATCATAATGCTACTAATGATGTATCTACAAAGAGTCTGCATAAAAAAAGCGCTCTGAATCCTTTGGGACCCCTTTTCTTTCAAGTACCTCTCTGGCCCGGGGCGCGGGTTAGCCCTGTGCACTGGTGTCTATGTGTGAGAATGGTAATGACAGTGCGGTTGATGGGGAATCCTAACCATTCACAGATTGCACTGTTTTGCTTTTCTCCTCCAGATCGGATGTGTGTTATTCGACTGGGCGGAGTGATACATACGGCCGACGGCGGAAAGTCACTGTAGTAAACAAAAAAACAGATACAGACATAGGATTCAGGCCAAGTCGGCATCATCTTCCTCCAACCACACCAAACAACTACGGCCTCATCCAGCTACGCACACACCACATGCAGATGGGTTTAATGTATTTAGGAGAGGAGTAATAGATTCATTTGAAGCCTCAGTTTTGGCAAAAGCATCAAGCGTCAAATTTATCTCAACCCAGTTTCGTTTTAGGGCTTCTGATATCATCTGCAAACAATAAAAGACTAAATAAAATACGTCTTTGTTCACAAGTCCAAGATCAAATCCTGGAAATTACATAATCCTTGAGTCTTTATCTTGGAGCTAAAATTGTTAAGTGATTAAATTCCAATATACGGGACTGTGTGAAAGGAAGGTAATGGACAAAGAAAGGCGTATTTATTTAAATCGATGCAGAAATTGTTACAAAAAATAATCAAAGCTAAACACTATGGGAAAAGATCTCTGCCAAAGAATTTCCCATTCGATGAGAAATTACAATGCTGCATCCTGCACTTACATATCATGTAGTTCCGAGACAATAGGCATTCACTACACTACATTAAAATTAGGACTAAACTAGGATTAAACTGGGAACTAAATTTGAACTATACGAGCTCTAGGAATAGAATAGGACTATGTATATATACAGACATTGTTAACCCACTAGCCGCCTTCCATCTAGGAAGTGTTCATGGTGGCACTTCTGGCTCCAGCGACTTTGTTTCCACTTTACTTTACATTGAAAAATTGTCACCCTTTTCTCTGTGTCTGCTGCTGTAAGGCTACGTTTACACTGAAATCTATCACTGTATTGGAAACGTTGTTTCTGTGTCCGTAAGCCTTCCCTATCCACACAGCTTTGCGCATATTTACATATTATTTACATTTTACAAAAACAAAACTTAAAACCACATGGCTAATTTGCATAAATTAACAGCTTGCTCCTTGTGCCCTGAAGCAGTCAGCTTCTGTTAAACTAAAGGACACAAATCAATAGAATATGTGTGTTCTTTCTGTGACAGAGGGGTGTTCTGCTAATGGTGAGTCTGTTCTGTGCTTCTATAGCGTTGGAGATGGTTCATGTGAAACTTTTCAGAGAGTTCGCCTTTAACGCGAAACCAACTGAAATGCTAATAAGTTGCAGCAGCTGATTTCGAGCCGAGGAAGATGACAAGCATAAAAACAGTCGTTTCATGGACCATGTACTAGCAAGTAGTTATAGCTACGCTGTTTCCCGTTTGTATATGGTTTGTTTAAACAGTT